AATTGGCTTGGTTACCCAATTTTCTCGGCCTCTTTGGGGAACACAATAAGCACAAGTGGAAGGAGGAAAATACTTTATTAAAAAGTGCTTTTCGTATAAAGGTATGCTTGCAAGAACCAATTTACAGTGATAGAATCAATAATGTAAACACTGGCAGAAAACAAGCACAGTTCAATGTGGAAAGCATCAAAGGAAAAGCGATATAATATTGTGTTCCCAAAAAGGTAAAAATTGCAGCCATGCCAATTGTGGAAGTAAGTCATATTCTTTGTGCAAGGTATGATGGAAGATGTCTGGTTGCCTTTTAATGTAAAAATGTACATAACAAGATTTCACTTACAGCAAACATTCCAAGAAATATTGCATCTATAGAAAAAGCAAACAAAGAAAGTGTTATACAATCACAAAAATCAAGAATGGGTAAATAGTCCCCAAAAATATTTATGTAAATATCAATATTTATAATTAATAATAAGAGAATTCCCATTACAGTTATAGCCTTAATTTTTGTTTTGCTATGCAAATTCATTAGCAGTTGCACTTTCAATTATGTACACTAAAATCCTTGCATAGCACAAATAAAGAAACAAATAAAGAATTGGTTTTATATTTCCATATAATTTGTATTTATTGTTCATTTACTAAATCCAATTTTACATTTTATTTATTAAAAATTCATCATTAAACATACTTATAAATATGGCTATAATAATTTACATTCCATTATTATTCATCAAGGATTTTGAAACCCCTCAAAGACAAAGTCCCTTCTAGACCAGTGGTTGGAAATGTGCTCGAATGCAGCTAACAGCACTAAATGGTAGTGGTACCCTAATTTCCTGCTCAATACATTCTAGCGCACCATCGAAGCAGTTGCCTGTGTCACATGTCTTTGTCTTTGTGTCTGTGGTCCTTCTTCAGCTCTTGAACCATAGTGTTGTACTGTTGTTTGTACTCACTCCATGCCAGTCAAATACCCAATAATTCTAAACAAAGATTTCGAAAACAGTTTTATCTGTAATACAGTCCGGAGTATCTATTCCCTCAAATTGTGCTGAGTCTTCATTCATTGTTAAACAGTTTGAACTTCGTCGTAGTCGTCCATAGGCTCGTCGCTAGAGTCTGTTTTAATCGGCTCATAAGCATATGGTTGAACTATGTTTTGATCGTTAATCATTTCTTCGTAGCGTTTGAACACTGCTTCCAGAATAATTACTTGCAAAGAATCTTTGAGTAACGTCCATTGCGCAAAAAATTAAAAACTAAAATAAAATGCACCATGAATATGCTTATGCGTAATTTCTACTATTGCTAGTATATTTTTTCCAACGTGTGACAACGATCACCGCGTGCAGTGAGGTAAACAGACGAAAACCGCTGTTGACTTGGCTTCGCTTGCATGTACACAATGGCGATCGAACAAGAGGCAAAAATACACACATTTAAGGGCATTATTTCTCGAGTTACATTTGAATTTGTCCTAGGGATTCGTGATAGAGGTAAGAACAATATACACTTTCATATGAGTGAAAGTTGTGTTGGGTCTGACTACTCCTTTAATGATTCACCATCCCACCCAGATGGTTGGTCAAGTACCCTCTCCAAAAAGAAAAGTTTTAAGGTTTTTGCAATACATTGATCAATTCAGAGCGATAATACCCATTTTGTTTCACACGGCAGAAGTCCTGTTTTTGATGTGAGAAAGCTTTTCTTTGGAGCATTGCTTTAAATGCGCTTAAAGTACCTACTTTAATGAAAAGATTTTAACAGGAGAAATTAATAATGTTAACTATATCTGATTATGTTCAATCTATGAGCTGCAGATTGAACAAAATGGCAAAAATATCGTTCTGTTGAACCAATGCTTGAACACCATTGATAATGGCCAGACATGACAAAAGCACTATCATATGCTTCTGCAAACCAGTTTTCTTTATATCAGAATACTCACCAAGATTATCTTGACAGCTTGTGATCCTGTTGTGGTATTTCCGTTCATACCTAAGTCCAAAATCCTAATTGCCTCTCACTAATTTCACTTGGTCTTCATTAAACAGAGCAATAACAGTTAGCTGCTCTTGATGGACACAGTATGTAAATTTGCGGATTGTCCGTATATGATGCAGAGGAGATCTGATTTTTTTTTGCAATTCCTCAAAACTAGTTATAGTGGTTGAAAATAATGAAAGAACATGTCCTCACTGCCCGCCGACAAAATTTTTTGATGTTTGCCAATAAGATGAGTTTCCACATAAATGGTTTGACCATTTCAAACAGTCATAACCGTGTGATCATAGAAGCCAAAAAAATTCCACCAGAAGTAATCATATTAGCAAAGATTTTCGTTACAGAGCTTGTTGAATGGACAACGCTACTCAAAATTTAACTTCATTGTTTGTCTTGTTGCGGACAAGCCGTGTCTTCAATGCACTAAACATTGACTCTCCGGCTTCAACTCTTTGGCTGTTAAGTTGTAAAAAGTTTCTCTTTATTAAACTTTAAATATATGCGTGTTATGTTAATAGTAAGCAATGACAACCAGCTTTATGAAGCGGCTGTCAAGATTGCCTGCGAAGTAAACGTAGTTTTGGGGAACCTAGAATGGTGGCAACGACAGGTACATCGTAAAAATCCATGCAAATTCTCTCATCAGAGCATTGAAGATAGCAGTTACTATACCTTTCCTAGACGATTGTCAGTCAGATAAAATTTGCATTTGAAGGGAACTGATATGCTAGATGCTATGTTTGTGATAATTCCTCTTTGAGCTTTTTATTTTCTCTTAAAGAGGTGATGAAGATTCGCTCAATTTGATTTTAGAAAGCGATTTTAGAATGTGCAACTGATCTGGTAACATAAGAAACAAGAAACTACATTAGCGATGTTATTCCTTTCTATGACGAGTTTTATTTTCCAATATCTTGTGAATGCTATATAAAAACTGATCTAATATGTTAGAGAAAATTTTGTTTTATTCCAAATTCAGGATTTTTGTATTTAATAGCATGTTAAAATGTTTCTGAAACTTTTTTTGCGTCTCCATGAGAACGAATATTTAAAACATATTGAAGGATGGAACTGTTATAGACGTGCGTAATGTGCTCAATACATTTTCCAACAGTCACGGAAAACTAGATCTCCCCTTCATGGGGTTCTCTGTGAAAGTATAAGCGGCAATGGCGAATTAAATACGAGAAAGCGAAACACCAAAGTTATCGTATGATTAAGGATTGAAATTCCTCGAAAATTGATAAATTACCTACTAGATGTATGAAGATGACGAATATATGCATTTTGCAGTAGCTTTGCTAAGAGACTGGAAAAAAACTCGAAACGAGCGTGAGGGTATGTGAGTGTCTACTGTGCTGATGTTTGAATCTTAATTAAGAGCATACCCCTCTTTCAACAGTTTTCTCCAGCACAAATTCATGATTCAGTGAAACAATTAAATATCCGAAATCAATATGGATGCAACAGTAATTTCACCCAAAACCTTGATTCTATATTGACTTCATTTAAGTAATTCTAGGTGGTATAAATGTTTTTTTTTAAATATTTACTGTAAGGATGCATTTTTTAATACCATAAATATGAACTAATTATTATTACTGCATTTTGAATGTTGACAATATGAAATTCACTTTTATGAATAGACATCAGTTGTGTTATAACAAAAGTGAAAAATAGTCTTTATTTCTTGTGATAATAACTTTACATGAACAATAAAACTAAGGATTTCAAAAGAATATTAAAATTTCCATTAAAGTTAATAATTTTTACAGACCCACAGCTTCTTACATTTTGAAGTTGCCATGGATAATCAACTTTTACCCTTAGTATTATTAAATGTGTACTGAAAGTATCATGCACATCATTTAATTGTTTTTAACAGTATATCTATTCTCCCCCAACACGACCTATTGCATATAATTCAACTATTGCTTCTAGTGTCTCTCTAGTCTCATTGAAAATGCTGCCACAATATCTTCACTCACAAATCCAGCTGATGATAAGTATGTTTTCTGTAAGCCGAAGATAAAGTTATAAAGGCATACTTGAGCCTTGGTGTGATTTCATTCAATAAATCAACATTGGCAATAATGGGTTTCTTGCAACAATTTCTATTTTAGAGGGAGAATTGAATGCGTATTTTCTTTCATTCTTCGCCTAGCTTATGAGGGCCTGTAATTGCACACCATTCGGTTTTCCTAAAGCTGTTTGTTGTGAAATGGTTTCACTAACCAACCCTTCTGTGGTGTTATCACTAATGAGCACAAGGGTCAGTTTCTGCAAACTTTGTAAAACTGAAAGGTGTCGGTATCCTCAGTTTCTGAACCTGATCATCAAACATCTGTCATAAGCCTGAATTTGCCAGAATATTTTACATCATTGGTGCTTCCATAATCACCAATGTTAACAAGAGTAAACGATAGTTTGCATTACAGATTGCAAGAAGCTGAATGCAGTGAAATTTTTATACAATCAAGAAACCTGCATTCTTGGACATTCTGACTACGATATGTTTACTATCCATTTCCCAAGATAATGAGGGATTATTATTATTACAGTGATATAACATTTTGGTGTTACTTGGAATCAAGGATTAAGTGGCACGTGTGAGATCGGTCGGTCAACGCTGTCAGGAAGTGAGAAAAGGTGTGAGATGTAGTTGGCGTCTGGACAAATGAGTAAACGTTGTGGAGATAAAAGCACTAGAATTATTGTAATTAGTGGCATGTTGGGTTAGTCTTGTGTGTATGTTTCGTCTCATCTTGCCTATGTATGTATGACCACAACCTGACATTTAAATTCATACATAACATTAGCTTTAGACAATTTTGTCCTTTTTGGGACAGAAAATCGATGTCCTTTTGTTTTCATATATAACTATAGGTTTAAGGGAATTTTAAGCTATGGCAAATTTTACGAGGAAGATTGAAAACCAAACGTTCACCTGTTTGCCTAGATATGGTATTCTAATGAAAATTTTACGAAGTTCATTCTCAGTATTTTGTTTGGGGCTTATTTTTAGCTATGATTTTGGTTTTGAGTTTAAGAATCAAGAATTTCAGGATTGTAAGAGGGAAACCATTCCATGGCATAAAAAAGACTTGTGTGTTTGAGCTTGTTTTCGAATAATGTTTGTTTAAAGCAAATCTTAAATGCGGAAAAAATAGGGAATTGTTCCAAGTAGATTTGGTGGTTGCGTTCAAACTTGAAAAATGTGTATATTGGCCAGTATGATGTTATACGATATATGAATATCATTATTGGTTATTTTAAGGTTCAGAGTGGACATGTGAGTAAGAAAATTCACTGCAAAGTTTAAGATTTTATCAAAATTATTAAATTTGGAAAGAACATGAGGAACGTCAGAATGTCACATAAGAACAAGATAATTATCAACATAACGTCAATAAACTTAAGGACACCTGAGTCGATCAAATCAGCGGGACAATGGATATTTTCAAATCTCAGTGAGAATTATATTAGCTTAACATAACCGAGAGAAGACCCCATGGAAACGCCATCGTTGTTCATAAAGAATACCGTCGTAAGAAAATATAGTTTTGGTGCATAAATCAATAATAAGTTTTTTCAGTGTTGACTTCGAGTGTGGTATTAGTAATATTTTGTTTGTAATTGCGATCTAGTACAATGTTGATGGTTTTACGCAAAGGCACGTAAAGAAATTCAACAAGAAAAGAGACAAACTTATAACCTTGGGAAAATAGATCCTTAGTATAGATTTAACAACATCAGCAGCATCAAAGGATTCTTGTAATGAAAATTTATTTAAGTTGAGTGAATTCAAAAGGTTTGCAATGAATTGCCGATGCTGTAGTGGTCTGTTTGTGATGTCAATTATTGGTCGTAACTTAGTAATGCAAATTGTTTGTGCGTTTTAGGTAGTCCATGTGCTCTGGCAAAGTGCGCGAGTAGGTCGTAAGAAAAGTATGTTCAGTTTTATTGATCTCACCCCGTTTTGTGAAGTGCATAGATAGGACTGTAGAGTTGAGAGTCTACTAGAAGTAAGTCGAAATACGCCTAAATTTACAGGGATTATCGAACAGCAAATTAAGAGATTGACATTAATAAATCGGTTTAACAAGACAACTCCATTGTTTTGTCAGCTTTCAGAATGGCGTAATCACTATTGTTTCTTGAGTATACGAATACATTTATATCAATATGAATACTCTTGTATTATCTTAAAATATCAAGAAAACGAGATGTCCCTTTTGAATTTGTTTTATTTTGTATTACTTCATATTGTCTGCTCGTACATTAGCCATAATAACAGATCTGAAGACTGGAAAAGGAAGCTCATCTGAAGCAAAATGGCGCTAAAAAGAAAATGTACGTCAAGAAATAATCCTGAAAAGGCTTTCCTTTAAGAAACAAGAAAGAACATCGACAGAGGACGAACAATAATATAGCAAAGTGCTTTTGTGCCACACCAATTATGTTGCACATCAAAGGACTTCAAATGAACTACTACTCCAACGTATTAAGGAAGAAAGTAAATGGTTTCAACACTGAGTATCATCACATGTTTTGGGCATTCTGTTCGTATCGGTGCAATTGCGAAGTTGTCGCTTTCTTCGCTGAATAAATCCCGCTTCATAGACCAAAGCATCTTGATTAAAGTATTGTAACAAAATACATTTAATTCTAGCAACAATTGCCATGTTATAGGCTTATCGTAATGGAAAACTTCCTGTAGAACATTTAGATCTAAATTCAAAACACAGCTCTACGAATTAACATGTGATCATAAGCAAACCTTGTGAAATTTTTGTCGCATGTCTTTTGACGGGGGTAATGTTTTTTGCATTGATTCAAGTTTTCGTAAATAAACAATATGAAACATTTTCCTTTTCTACTTTACCCTACGAGTGAACTATGTACTACCTTTTATAGACAACTCAATCCATGCAAATATGCAATTAAAAACAAAATCCATTTTGTATCAATAAGAGGAATACATCTGTGAAAAGACATCGTCCCCGTGAAGAATGACAGAATTTCACCAAGCTCACAAAAAGGAGATCTCATGTGTTTTAGAGCTGTGTTTTGAGTAAAATGCAATATATTTTTGTTACGATAGTGCAGATAAGATCTTTAAGGACAAGTTTTATGAAGCGGGGTTTATTGAGCGCTTTGACGGCACTTCGCAATGGCGCAATATTAACAGGGTGTCCACAAAATGAAATATCTAAAGATAAAAGACACTTAATCTGCATCCAAACTTGACAAAACTGGTTGGTGATCTTGCCTTGCAATCAGTAATCAAGAAATGTATTGAAAATATGCCGAATACTTAAGATCTGGGATAAAAAGCAATAAGACGGAAAAACATGGCTAAAAGCGGGTTATGAGGAAGGCATGCGAAATATATTCCTATCGTATGCCAGTAAAAACAATGTCAAATGCTGAAATAACGAATAATTAGAGGAGTATAGTGTGGTTTTTCATCGTATATGATTTTTCTTGAAAATAGGAACCAATCTCTGCCAAGAATATTTTCTCAATTTATGCAAAATTGGCATTTACTAATGCTCGTGTATGGTAATTTTCTCTCAGTAAATATTAAACTTTGTAAATATTTCCTCCCAAGACCAATTCTAAACAATCTTCAACCGAAGCGAGCTATATCGACACTGCCATTTCAGGGGAGTCTCAATTTCATGATTTTCGTCCCGGATTGAGTTGAATGGCACATATGCCATGTTGTTCGTCATTCCATTTCACAAAAACAGTTGAGATAACTTCCGGTAAAAGAGATGCACACACAAAATCGTATATACAGATCCTAGAGTAGAGGCAAAATTCACTTCTATCTGAATATAAAATAATCTTGCTATGATAGCTACCATCTGAATTCACTTTTGCTTACATGCTTAGCGAATTACCCGCTTTTAAATAAATTTAAAGTTTAGCTTTGTAAGAAAATACATTGCGAAGAAAATACTTTACACCGCCGTAAAGATATTGCTGCCTATGTTGCCAATCAGTTCAAGGGAAATCGAACAGCGCTTTGATGCATAAATTCAATTTATGAATACTTTTTTATTTTTTTCTTAATAAAAGTTGACTATGCCTATTGCAAGTAATCATTTCAGGTTAAACTCCTAAATAATGTTTTTCATTTCTCAACTTAATAAGCGTATTATTTAAAACAATATCTGTAGAATTTCGGAGCTCCTAACAACTATGAACATTAAACATCAATGCAATTTACGGAGTCTAGTGGTTGTGACCAGTATGGTCATTTTGAAAGGTGAAAGATTTACTAAATTTTGTTTCCTCTTTGTTTTTATTTGTTCAAATTGCCAGCGACAACTGAGATCAAAAGATGTTAGCCCATATAAATTTAAATAACATGTTTACGTTGTACGACACTAAAGAAACAAGAGACTTTATCCATGCGCTTACTGAAGCACTTACACAAGAAAGACTCGTTTTATTGCACCATACCATCAATTTTAATTTGTCGTAGCTCTGTATTTGTGTATTTTGTGTCTCGCTTGAACAATTTCTTTGTGATTTTTTCAGTAATTGATTGTGGTATTTTATGTTCCATTCCAACTTTCTTCGATATGCATTTAGTTCGGGCAGAAATGCTAGTTGGTCTTAAAGGGTTGTTTCCTTATAAGTATGTGAATGGCCCATTAAAAATTATCTTTAATAAAGCATTGTGTAATCGAACTGTTTCTCCAAAGAGACTATTCTTAAAATTTTAAACATTCCAAAATGATTTAAAATTTGTATCTGAAAATACACTCAAGCTGATTGCTGTTATACTAAAATTAAGAGCTTGTAAACCTATTACAAGCTGATAACTATTGACTTAAGTTGTTGAATATGAATAAAAAGGCATAGGCACGTTTTAAATTTCTTTGATAAACTCCATAAAATTAAAAAACATCAAACTTCAAAATTAAAAAAATACTGAAGCTAAAAATTTTTGGTAATGCCAACATGAAAAGCATATGACCTCTAAAAATGTTTGGTATTTTTATGTAGAAGTAACTCAACAACAGCACTTTTGATCATTTAAAAGTTTTAGAAATTTTTTAGATCTATATTCATGCCAATTTAACATAATATATGAATTGTTCGAGCGTTTCTATGAGAGTGTAAAAAAGCATATTTTTTTTAGCATAATGTCATTGGCATCAAAGTGAACTACTTGTTTGTGTTTTATCGTCCTGATTTTCGTAAAATATATTTCGTACTTCTGCAAGTTGGAATTTATTGGTGATCCAAGAACATCTCTGTTATTGAATTTTTTCTGTTGTCTCCGTGGAGAAGAAAACACAAACTGTTCACTTGATTTCTCCAATCAATGGTCACGATACACAAAGCTCGCACAGACTGGCAGTGGCATTTTAAAACCATGCAAGGACCAGTTAATAAGGCAATGCACAAATCTGGTTGGGGTGAATTTAATCGAAGCTCTGGAAAAATAGTTTAATTGGTTATATGGATTATCTGACCTTCTGACAGTTTTCACGAATTTTCATAGAAAGTCGAAATGCAAATGGAGACCTAAAGACAATCGAGGTGACAATTGATAGTGTATTTATTGACCGTCTAATGTCGCAGCAACAGTTTTTGATCAATGAAAATGCACTATGAAGCAATTCACTTCATGGAAGCTGAACTTGGCAATTGTTCAGGCTTATCTTGAATACAGTCTTGTGATGGGCTGCGGGACCCACCAAGCAACTGGTTTATATTAGGTAAGCTTCTATGGACTATAAAGCTTTTGTTCATAACAAGGTGGCTGTAATTACCACTTAATTCCATACCTTTGCTTAAAATTTTAGCCTTTACTTTACTTGAACTTTTCATAAAAGTGAGAAATCCTAAAATAAACAGGAAATGAACAATGTTATTTCAATATGTCTCCCTAATTAACCTAAACATGTTTTCACTCTGTTACCAAATTATCTGTGGAATATATATATAATGGGGATGAATTATACTTCATATAGGCTGAAACAAGTAGTAATCCTTTGTAAAAATTAATTTAATGTAAACTAATTAATTAAGACATACATATATAAATAACATAGATGACCCCAACAACAATCAAGATTATTTTAAAAATATCATCGAAAGAGAAATTAAAAGAGCATCCTTTGAAATTGTTGTATGTTGATCAACTGAAACAATCTAGCGAAAGAATACCAATAAAACTATTTTTTATTCAAAGTACAACTTTGCGCTTAGTTCTTAACTTTCTTTAATTTTCAAATAGTTACTAAATGACTGTGTGAAACACCATAAAAACATGCTTGTAATAAATAAAAATACTAAGGCTACAAGTGTAATAGCTGATACTATTTCCTACACCAAGCATAAAATACAATTGCAGAAAGGGCTTTGATGAGTCAAACATTTAGGTAATAAAACATGTTGTGAAAATAGACTGGTGTGCATGAAATAAATCTTAATTCTGGAGGCAGATCACCACAATTTAACGTGTCACTAAGTCAAGCCCATGGCACAAGCCACTCATTATATTGTAAAGAAATGTTTAAAGTTTAACCTTGAAAGAGATATCTGTGTTTGAATGGGGAAATAGAAATATCTAAGTCACAAACTCTTTCAACAACATCAGTGGGCATATCAAGAGCTTCTACTTCACTACCATGAGGCAAAAGTATCTTTAAGATAGAAAAGTTGTGTAGCTATATGAATAACCTTTAATAAGAACATTTCTCATAGGTAACTTGCCTTTAAAACCTAACAATTTTAAAGCAATCATTTTGTAAATGTGTTCTTCATTTTATCGAACTAAAGGTGTTTTAATGGAAATGAAAGAATCATGTTATAATGAATTTATTGTGAGTGTATGAAGGTAATATACCCCTTAGACAAGAATGTGTAATTCTGAACTGGCAATTGTTTCAGTAAGCGCATACATATACTTAATTACTTCTGTTGACTATAGAATGAGAGGGAGTTCCATAAATATAGATCACAATAATTTTCAGAAGAAGTAATTGCACCTGCTCGTGTTTTATTGAATTGAAGGTTGGCATGAGTAAAACTCTTCATTATCAAATAAATCTTTGATCATTGGATTTAGCATAAAATACCACTAAAATAATTTAAGGAAGAAAAATTACAAATACGTAAATTTACTTTCTTTGTTATAAAAATTGTAAAATTTCAGTAATCGATGCATAATGCAATTTGGGTACCTTGAGACAAAGTGATCAATAGAGTCTTTCTAGGCCATGTTGATAGAAAACCGGCATACGAGAAGTTATGTTTCAAACGTAGACTGTCCAGGTTAGTATAATCCAGAGAAGGACTGTTTTCGTTCTAGTTGACTGACGTTTCGACAACCTTAGTGGTAAGTAACAATGTATAAAAATGAGCAGTAAAGTTAAGGTTAGCCGTATTTTTATCTGGTCTTTACGTCATTGTAATGTGTGTACAGGGAATGATTGCGTCAATTGTATTGTCATTGTGAATTAGTGTGAAGTGTAATGTTTTAGTTGATCGTTTGTTTGTATTGTGAATAAGTCGCTTGTAAAGTGCCGTTAATTGCCGTGATCTGCCTGTGTGGAGGGGGTTTTCTAAGTTGGTATACCAACCTTCTAATTTGAACCGTTGTCATACATGAAATTTGTAGCAATGGCATTTTGCCGATTCCCAGTCAATGCCAGCTTTTGATTCGGTGATGTTCAGCATGTATTACTTTTGTCCTGTTTCTTAGTAGCTCGTTTGTGTTCAGTAAGTCTTATGTTTGAGTCTTGCCTCCTGAGATATAGGAGTATGCGAGTGAAGTCGGAGCAGTTTATTTTGTAACCGCACTCGTCGTTCGTTGGGTTGTTCTGTCCTTTTATGTTCGTTAGTACTTTGTCGTAACGTTGTGATTGGTTTATTTGCGACACGCATGTTGTATGGTCGCAAGATACGCGAGATAGTCTTATACGTACCTTTGATGTTATCGTTATATTACGCCGAGTTGTTCGTCAGGTCGGGCTCGTGGGTTTGTAAGTGTTGCGTTTGATAAAGTCAGAGTTATAGTTGATTTTGTCAAACACGTAAGGAGATAGCAGTTGTTTTGTTGTGTAGAGCGTAGGTGAATCACATGATTTGTGCACGTCTTGTTAATTATCTGATTGTGGTAGCTTTGTGTGATGTAGGGTTGTAAGATGATTGGTAGTAGTTGGTTTGCATAGCTGTTGTTCGTAGTTTTGACAGTCTTGTTTTACCAACAGTCGAGAAAAACGAAGACTTCGTTATTCTTGACCAGCAGATGACTCCATACGAGCACGGATTAACGCCTTTCACACGAATCATCCATTATATCGAGCAACAAGAGCAAAGATTGAACAAACTGAAGGAGCTCATACCAACGACAATACCTTTACTTCTACGATACAAAATATTGCAGAGAAACGAGCAAACGTAAGACAGAGACACAACACTAAATCAAACAACAACAAAACTTTATTGTTTAAAACGCACTAAAACACGTGTACAAGACATAAAAACATGACGATAACTTGCGGAGGAATTATTTCTTCCCGGTCATTAGACGAAACTGAAAACACGACTACTGTCTACTGACTAAACACTCCATAACACCGAACGATCCTGACTGAGACAATAGTATCCGGTGTCGAGGGTGTCCTGGCGTATCAAAGAGACTTGTCAGAGACAACCAAAGATCGAGATCAGGCTTTAGCCTCCTGTTTACAATCGTAATTCTAAACGTGACAACAACTTCACAAAGGACGAGCAACACGCACTTAAACGACTAAAACACGACAAAAACATCAAGTCATTTTACCAGCAGATTTTGACACGGACTGTGGTCATAGATAGGAATGATTACTTCCAAAAGGGATAAATTCTTGTCGATTTATTGAGAAACGTACAAGCAACTCAAACGAGACCCAACACCATCACTAGAACGCAAGATTTTCTCTTTGACATCAAGATTTTCTATAAGAGAAAAACTATAATTATATCTGAACGTATATACTATCGACTAATATGTTCAGTACCACGATCACCGAGACTTTAGGGACTACCAAAACATCACAAACAACAAATACCCATGCGATCTATTGCATCATTCTGTGGTTTGCCTACTTACGAACTGTCAAAGTACTTGACTGACGTATTGCAAATACTTACGAGGTAAAAAAAAAACACAAGCTGCAAACCACTGAAACTTTCATTAAAAAACTGAGCACTATACAAATGCCGGACAAATACATACTAATGTCGTTTGTTGTGAAATCATCGTTTTACCAGGTTCCACCATATCTGGCACCTACTTTGTATAAAACCCTCATTTGAAATAACTCACGGAAGTAAGCCATTACCGACAGAAGACATTATCGAGCTATTTGAGCTCTGCCTCACCTCAACTTTACTACCAGTACAATAGTACACACTACAAACAACACATGAACTGAAGCAATGGGTCAACTGAAATGATGTATTTGCTGAAAATGTAATGCAATCTTTAAAGGAATGGGCGCTCACGACCACTCAACAGGTACCTTTAGGTCTGTTACGTAGATGAGATGATCACAGCACTACATGCAGACGAGATTGATTACTTTCACTCTCAAATCAACGAACAGAACAGCTTAAAACATAATCAACGAAAGATAAAGACGTAAAAAAACGAAAAACTGATCTCTTCCTTTCTTGGACTGTCTGCTAAACAGGAAAGTCAAAGACTAGAACGACAGTCTGTCGCAAACCAACACACACTCGAACAACTACTAGTCCGATCATCTTACAACATTACACCAACAATAAACCACCAAAATCAGAACATTCACAAGACGTGCACAAACATGTGTGATTCACCCGACGCTCTACAATAACGAAAACAACTATTCCAAATGTGTTTTTGACAAAACAATCATATCTCCAACTTCATCAAAGCAACAACTACAAACACAAATGAGTCTGACGAAACGAATATCTCAGCGACAACAGCAATGACACCTTTGTATCAAATGTACGTCTGAGAATTATCTGGCGTAATCTTACGACCATACAAATACGTCTCTGCACATAAACCAATCACAACGTTATAATATACTAACGAAAATAAAAGGCAAAGAACTATCCAAAGAATGACAAGGTGCAGTTTACTAAATAAAAAGTTTTACTGAACACAGAGGGCTACAAAAAAAAAAACAAGACGAAACTAATCACATTGCCGAACATTACCGACTCACAAAGCACAACATTGACTGGGACTTGTCAAAATGCGTTACTCACAGCACTGAGTATAGAGAGTAGTTTTAACTAGAAAGTTGTATACCAACTTAGAATAAACCCCCAGAGCAGATCCAGCAATTACCGTCACCTTACAAACGACTTATTTACAATACAAAACGAACGATGAACAAAGAACTTTACACTTCACACAATTCACAATGACAATACACAATTGACACCCAAACATTTGTACATAATACAAATGGAACCAGGTAATAAATACCAACCTGATGTTTAATACCTTATTTTCTCTGAAGATGACTATCGCGAAGGTTGTCGAAACGTCAGTCGCTAACAAACAGTCCTTTAGGACTATACTAACCTGTGATTTACATCTACAAAAATGTAACGCAATTCCGGGTTAAAAAACCATTTACTTCTGTAACGAGAAATATTGTAGTAATTGTGCCACCAATGCACTAATGTCTACAAATGAAAGCAACCATCCATGAATAAATAACAACACGTG